TCGGGGGTGGGTGGGGTGGGTGGCTGGCAACCTATTCTCTCTGCTCTGTCCCCAGAACAACATCATGGTGGTGAAGGATGACATCAACCATCCCATGTCTGTTGTCAGCTCAACCAAGAGCAGGTACGTTTGACTCCTCATATGAGGAGAGAATGGGGAGCAGCCAGACCAAGGCTAGAGCAAAACTGCAGAAACCGAGGGGCATCCCTGGAGCCCTTTTGTACCTGTGGGTGCCTTCCCGCCATAGCCCCCCGGCTTGTGAGAGGGCACCTTCTTCTCCATCAGGCTCCTGTAGGGAAGAAAGGAAATGGTCAAGCAGAAGAACCCCGATGAGAATCATTCTCACAGATCATGGTGCAGAGAAACACAAAGGAAAGATAATAGCTAACATTGAAATGCCTACTGTGTGCTTGGGCTGTTCTAAGTGGGTTTCGTAATGAATCACTTGATTTTTGTAATAAATGAGATAGTTATTGTCTACGTTTTGTGGAAGAGAAAACTGAAGAACAGATGGGTTTAAATCACTTGCCCAAGGTCCCTCAGCTAGGAGCTGGCAGAGCCAGGATGAAATGGAGTCACCAGGTTGGGGGGGAAATTGTGGACACGAGAGGGTATTTCCTAAGAGGGATTCCACTTAGCCTAAGCAAAGGCTGGTGATGGCGCGTTGGGTACACCCTTTCCCTGAAAGCGAGTGGGCAGACCAGTCCTCCTGCCGGGCTTCAGGGAACAATGTCCATCTGATTCCCATCTGTTCTCACCCAGGCTGGCCCTGCAGCATGGGGACGGCCATGTCGTGGATTACCTGTCCCAGCCCGTCATCGACTACATTCTCAAGAGCCAGCTGTACATCAACGCCTCGGGCTAGCGGCCACACAGCCTCCGCCGCGCTCTCCCCATGACCCCCGCCAACACACTGGCCCCTCCAGTCTCTGTCCCGTTTCTCTGCGGCCTCTGTTTCTCCATCTCCTCATCTTGACTGTTCTCCCCGTTCGCCGGCTCCAGCCCCCACAGTGTGGGGACCTTCAGAGACCCTCGGCATCCCTTACTCCGCAGTCATCTTTGGACAAACTTTCCTCTGGTCTCCGGGTTGGGGGTGGGTGAGGGCATAGGGGTGGGAGTTGGGGGGAAGTGCCGTCCTTGGAGATGTGCTGGTGGCCATCTCCCAGCATGCTCTAGAGAGTGGCTCTGGTGCCCATCCTCCCAGCATGCTCTGGGGAGGCAGCTCTGGCTCTCGCCTTCCCAGCATGCCCTTTACCACAAAGGGCTATTTTTTTCTTTTCTGTTTTTTTTTTGTTTGTTTTGTTGTTGTTGTTTTGTTTTGTTTTGATTTTGATTTTGATTGTTGTTCACGCCTCATAGAACTTGGATGAAATCAGTGTCCGTGATTCTTCACGTCTGTGGTCTTGATGCATTCCTGTGGAATTGCTTCCCTGTGATGGGAAACTGTGGCCAGACTCAGCACAGTGAGCACGTGAGGGCCACACCCAGAGAAGAAGGCCAAGCCACCTCCACTTCTCCAACCCCCCCTACCCCCAAAAAAAAACACACACCTACCCTCACCACCCACCCCCACCCCCTACAGCAGCAGCAGCAACAGTCTGGGGTCAGGAGTGAGATTTTCAGGTTCTGAAACCTGGGAGGCAAGTCTGGGAACAGTAGGTGTTCTTAGAAGAATTTGAGTCCATTTCCTTCGTTTCAGACCATTTTCCTGAGGCTCTGGACCTAGGTTCACACAGAGCCAGTCCATCCCCATTTCCCGGTGACATCTATACAGTTACTCCTTTGGACTGTGACGGATGGCAGAGAGTGGGTCTCCTACCATCCCAGGCATTTCCAATCACCATCTCAGCCAATGGAGGCCATACTAGCTACGTCCTGCACCTGAGAAGAATCACATACGCAAGGCCATTGTATCCTAATGCTACAGTCATTTCTGAAGATAA